AGTCCTGCTTGTGACTGTCTTAAAACCTGAAAATCCCTGCCTTGGTTAAGTGGATTTTGTTCACTTTTCAGAAAGAAAAATGGCTTTATCCCAAACCTCTAAAGGAACATTTCAAAAGCTGCTTCCAGCTTCTAACAGGGAGCTGCTCAGGGTCAGCAGCCCTGCCGCTCCACACCTTTCTTTGGTTTCCTTTCCCTGGCATGTCCAGGTTAAGGGGGGAATGGTAGGAGGTATGAATACATGATAAGCCCTGTATTTCCAGGGCCAGGTCCCCAATTCTCAGCAAGCCCACATGGGCTCTCTCTGGCTTCTCTGCAGAAGTGAGCCTGTACACATGTGTGCACACATGTGTATACTCATGAACACGCATGTGTATCCGTCTCCACAGCCCACAGCACAGCTTTGGTTTGTCAGTGTTGTGACTTTGCTGCTGTGACTTGGTGAGTGAGCACTGTGTCCTGTGGGTGTCCTGGTGTCTTTCCTGTGAGGGACAGAGGGAAGGCTTCACTGATAACATGCTGCATTCTTCCCTTGACTTGGGTTTGCATCTTGGTGTGTCTTGACTCCTTCTGGAACTCTCTGGAGAAGCTGTCAGATTCTGCTCAGTGCTTTAAGACACAGCAGCCATCTGTCAGCTTTGCCCTGGATTCTTCTTGGCTGGGCCCCTTTGGGGCCCTGTCTCCAGGGTCTAAATAGCTCCTGCTCTGTTGATAGGAACTGTATGGCCTCCTGCCGTCCTGCACTTCCTCACTGTCCCACTTGCAGGTGCCTCATTGTCCCACTGCTGCCTGCCTATGTCCTGCCCCCTCCACCTTGCATCTTCATTGAGCAGAAGCTTAAAAAGGTCTGGAATGTTTGGAGATGCCTCTTGTTCTATCCACCCTCACCTGGCACCAGAGTGGCTCTACCATTTCAGATGGGGACTCTGGCTGGTCTGTCTCCAAGGACTGTTGAGAACAGAGTCCTGCTTGGCCTTCCAGGGCCTTGGGAATTTTGTATGTTTTCTCTGGAGGTTTTATGCTTCTCTCCTAAGGGAAACTAGTGCAGAGTTGTCCTACCTCCTGTGGGTTTGGTGAGAGCTGGAAGGCCAATGCTGGTATGGCCCAGAGGTACAGGGGGCAGAGCCTCGTGGCAGCCAGAGGGTGCAAGATGCCATACCTGCCCCTGCCCTTCTGCATATCTGTGGCCGTCTTCTCCCTAGTCTCTCCTCCCTGTCTCGGTGTCTCAGTGTCTCAGCGTCTCAGTATCTGCCTGCCTCACACTTGCTCCACCGCCCTGCCAAAATCAGCCAGACTCCAGATTTCAGGCTGAGCTAGGTCTCCAGAGAATTGAACCATAAGTGCTCCTTTATCCTAGCATCTCTGCTCTTAGGAGCAGGTGTGCTTGTCTTTGCCAGTCTTTATCTGGCAAAGTGCAGGTTATTTTTGTCCTGTGTCCTTCCCATAGAATTTTCACAGTTGCTTTCTACAATTCCAGGAGGGGCCAGGTGTTGGGCTAAGATGGGGGAGGAGTATCAGGTCAAAGCTGTCCTGCAGCCCCCCAGGACGTGGCTAGGGCAGCCAGTGGCAGAATGCTGAGCTTGGAGGGAAGAGCTGGGAACCAAGCCTAGCCTGTTCCAGGACCTCTTGCAACTCACCCAGTCGTCACAGCAGCGACCATTCTCATGTCTGGCTCTGGGCTTTTGCACAAACAATCACATCCTTCCCTTTGGCCCCACTCATCAACCACCATGCTCTTGCCTCTGCTGTTCTCTCCAAGAGGACCACCCAGAGCCAGGCCTATCCCTGGAAAGGGCTGTAAGAGAAGAAGGAGTGGGGAAGCCCTCCTAGGGCAGGCTGGGGTCTGGAAGTGGCAGAGGCACTGTCAAGAGGCAGTGTCTAGGGCTAGAAGACAACAGCAGTCTGGGGCCATTTCTCCCAGTCACCTTGGCAAGGGCTTGAGCCAGAGCTCAAAGAGCCTCAGTGGGCTCCTTACAGACTGCGGATGTGGGCTGGGGCTGGACCTGAAAAGGGTTCTGCAAACCAGGTTGCCCTTTCCTGTGGTGGTTTTGGTCCCCTGCTGTCCTTAATGCCACACATGCTGCAACAGGCAGCTGGTCCTACCAGAGCAGGCGAGGCCAGAGGCTGGCAGCTTACCCCTGGGCCACTAACTCTGCCTGTGAGTACCAGCCGCCCAATGGAATGCCTCATCAGGGCCGAGAGCAGTCACCTCAGAGCTCTGGGCAGCCTCCACTCCTGATGACTCAAGAAGAGACTACATGAGAGCCTCTAGCGAGAAATCAGTGACGTTTCCAAGGTGGGAACCCCATCTTTTATTTATTTAATCCAAACTGTCATGTGAATTATTCATCTCCATTTATGTAAGCCATTGAACTACAAGAGTGCTAGAGAGCAACACATCGACTTTCCAGTGCCCTAAATGGAGCGATTGTTGACTGGTCTCCCTCCCTGGATGAATTTTGTGAAACCACATGCACACACATACTTTGGCCCCCACTTTCCTGGAGGAAGCTGCTTCCCCTCCAAGCTGCCAAGGGCCAGAGGCTCTTGGGGCTCACAGGTACCTGGCACATAGCCAGCAGCACCATGTCCTCCCCACAAAGTGCACACTGACCGACTGTAGGAATGCTCTCCTGCAGACCTGAGCTTCACCTGCTTCCCAGGCCAGTGAACTGCACAAATGGGGCCCATTTCCTTTCTCCAAGGTCAGGTTGTGTTATTGCCGAGGTTTCATTTTTCCCCTAGACATGTGTGATATATCAAAGGCAGGAGATCCTGGCAGGACTAAAATATCACCCCTGAAGTGTGGACTGTGAGTTTCTCCCTCTGTGTGGCGTAGGCTTCCTCCTGCTGGGGCTCCATCCTGAGACGCAGGATGAATACAGGTCAGGACTGCCAGTTAACCTTTTGATTCCAAAGTCTGATTACTCCATTAATCAAGGACTCTGGCCCGCTTCCCACTGGACGGGCTCTCGGCTGCATATAAGATAGTAAATTCAGGAGCAGCCAGGACAGGACTAGTGGCCATGCAGCCACAGCCCCACAGCTGGACATTGCTATGCAACCCCCTGACAAGCTGGTATTTTTCAGGCTGTCTCCTCCTGGCTTCAGGACACCTTGCTCAGTGTGGTTCTTGAATGTTCTGCAGTGTGATTGACAGTGAGGGCAGGAACAGCCCTGCCTGAGCACTTCACCCCTGTAATCAGGAGGGTTTGCATTGTAAGCTTCAGATGTTTCATTTGTGAAGTGGGGAATGGGCTCATCACTACATCTTGGTGATATGGCTGTGAAGTAAATGTGTATGTGTGATAGGGGGCTGGGCTTGCACCATCCATGTAGTTGTTCACAGTACAGCCCTCAATATGCAACTAGCCTCCTAGCTGTTGATTAGATCCTCAAGATGGAGTCTGAAGACAGCCAGGGCCCTGTCACCCTGCAGTTAGGTGAGGATGTGAAGATGGCAGGATCACATTGGAGCCCAGACTTCCCCAGATCTTCCTCAAGGGCTTTTGGTTCCCACTTGGCTCCTATGGAAGATGGGTACCCCCACCCCTACCCAGCTCTCCAGAAAGACACCTAGGCCCATTGTGCCCCAGGGCCTGTGTCCAGATGTTTTGCTCCACTACTGTAGGCAGCCAAGCAGAGCCTCTGTGCTGGGCCTGGACCATGGAGCAAATTGGCCTCTGAGCTCACTATGACTCAGAGAAGCTCTGTGCCCTTTGACCAAAGCATCATTGCAAGTGTTAACTTCATACATGCACACCCTTCCCAGCCAGGCAGACACCATCCTGTGCCTTGTCCGGTATCACAGCAGAGGGAGGCTAGCAGCTAGTAGTTCACCTTTCAGGCAAGATAGGGTTCACCCAGGTCTGGCTGGCAGGATGAGATTTGTCCATCACCTTCATGGCCAGTTGGGCACCAACCTTTCACATCCTCTCCCTTACCCCCACTGCAGCGGACCCAAGCCCTTCAAGAAACTTTCCTGAGTTCCAGGCAAGACCTCCAGAAAGCACCCAGCTCAGGAGGCAGCTCTGTGCATGTTTAAGTGGAGCCAGGCTCAGTAATTAACGAGGGGGATAAATCAAGGTTTAATTACTCGGAAGGCACCTTCAGTGAAAGATTCATGACAATCGTGCGTCCTCCTGGTGGCTTTGCACAGCTGGTTTCTCCCCAAGTGGCAGTAAACCACAATGGGCAGGAAGGGGGGTGATCTATCCTGAATGATATGTGAACTGGGTTCCCAGTGGGGCTGGCGGGCATCTCCCAGCTCATCTGTAGTCCTTTAACACCTCTGGGGGGACACCCTCCTCACAGTGGCCTTGAAGTAAAATGATGGTTTCCATCCATCTCCCTGTCTCTCCAATCCCACTATGCTGATGCTGTTCTAGCTCATCGGGGCAGGTGCCCAGCCCTACAGGGTCTCAGGCTGCAGCCTGGGAGTGATCAAGCTTAGCCAGGTCCACTGTGCCTCTGCACATCCAAGCCTTCCACTCCAGACCTTCATTCGTAGTGCTGTGCCTCCAGAGCAGCCTGACCTGGACTCTGCTGACCTGTGAAGACCAGTCACCTCCCTCCTAACAGTGACCTGGAGTGCCTTTTGTGTTGCTCTTGGTCATTGCTGAGAACTAGTTTCCAAAAAAAAACCCTCCAGGTTGGCATAGAATTCAAAGCTGGGAGCCTGGGGTATCTGGCTCCAACATCTGTCTTTCGCAGAGTCTCTGTTTTCTTTCAAGTTACTGTTGTTAATACAGTAACTTTATTATCACTGCCACCAGAAGGTCACACTGCTTATCAGCTTGTCCTTTTCATTCCAAGTCTTCTGAGTGGCCAGATCCGGGCCCGCAGATGCAGTGCTTCCTCAGTCATCCCCAGGCGCTGGGACTTGGGTGAGGGTGTGGCTTGTTCTTGCTACCTGGCTCTCCTCCATGTCTATGCCTGGCCCCTGCTCTGGGTCACAGCATCTTGGTGATGAGCTCACAATCTCTTGTCCTCTCCCTACAGAGCTGCGGAAGCAGGTGGAGAGTGCCGAGCTGAAGAACCAAAGGCTCAAGGAGGTTTTCCAGACCAAGATCCAGGAATTCCGCAAGGCCTGCTACACACTGACGGGCTATCAGGTAGATGTAACCACGGCGGGCCAGTACCGGCTGACCTCTCAGTATGCAGAGCACAAGACAGACTGCCTCGTCTTCAAGGTAGGCTCTGTAGCATGGCCACAACTGCTGTCACCAAGCTCACATTTCCCTTCTAATCAGGTATAATGAATGGCACCTTTCAGCTTAGCCAGTCTAGTGTCAGCAAGGCCTGGTTTTGCTAGGACAGAAGGGGGCACTGGGCCACTTAGGCCTTTGACTCCAGTTTTGACTTGTCCCTCTCGCTTTTTCATATCATGCATCTGCATTATGTCAGCCATGTATTGTCTCTGCAGGTTGGGGGCATCGTGGTATATGTCACCACCTAAAAGACTAAAGTTACAGAAGAGCAGGATGGGTACCTTCAGAGCTGTCAGACCTAGACCCTCTCATAGCCACTGGAAGGGAAAAGCCAGGTGCATGATCTTTGCTGACAAGTGACTTGGACAAAGGTGTCAATCTTTAAAGTTGACTGGAGGAGCCAGGGCCAACTCCACAGGCAGCCAGAGGGTCCCTGAGGCAAGAGGGCTAGGCACTGGGTAGAACTGCTGCCTTATATGAGCTACGTGGAGTACCAGCCCATGACAGACAGGTGAGGCCAGAGGCACTAAGGAGGGACCTCACTATGGCCAGAGCAGTGTGGCTCAGTGGCATTGTGGATGAGCTGTGGCCAGCCTTGTACTTCTAGAGACATGGGGTCAAGGAGTCCTCATGGTGGGCAGTTCCAGCAACAGAAGGGGCAGTCACATGGACAGTAGGTTGGTGGCCTTGCATGGGCATCAGGCCGCTGGAAATCTGGGGTGACTGGCTTATTCATGACTGGTGGAGATGGTGTTGTGCTCCTATCTTGGGGTGGAGGTGTTGGGTGCCTATCAGGAAGGGTTGATCCAGCACTTATTATAGGAGGCTGAGACAGCTGTAGCCCCTCTTAGGACTGGCCAGCTGCAGATATTCATGAGCCACCTTAGCTCCCAGCAGTCCCTTCACAGAAAAGGGGCCAACTTTCACTTTTATCTGCTAGCTATCCCTGGTGTGACCTACAGAAATTCAAGCAGAGTTTAACAAAAACTGAACAATGGCTCCCTGGTTTCATTTTATTCAGACCAGTGGCTTGCTTTCCTTGTTCCTGTCCCATCTGTCCCCTCACGCACAATCTCCCCTGTCTTTGTGGCCAGAACAGTGCCTCAGGCATGGTGTCCACTGTCCTGCTGTTTCTCAGCACATCCTGTAAATTCTCTAGATGTCATATTACGTTCATCCATTTTTACGCTTCCTGAAACCCTGAAAGCTTTGAGTAAGTAAATAAATATTCAAATGCCCAAAGCCTTTAAACAAATAGGCTATCAGAAGTGTATTTCTTCACTTTTGTATAATTCTGTGTACTTTTGAACACCTCAGGATCACTGATGGGTGTTTAATTTGATGCACTGTAGAAGTCCTGTTCTTGGAAAAAGATTAGGTAAATGAAGATGTGCTTGGGAACAGTCACTTATCAGACAGGGCTGGAGATCACAAGGCAGAACTCACTGCAGTGATTGATCTTACAGAAACCTCCTCCAGGGAGACCTCAGAAAGCCTTCTAAAGTATTCTGTACTTATTGATTGTTGAAAATATAGAAAGTCCAAAAGAAGAGAATAGTTTGTGAGACTTGGCCTCTAACAGATAGTCAAGGTTACCATGTCTATGCTCATGTCTGTGTGAGCAAATCACCTTTGCACCAGTTCCTGTCCTCACAGACCCAGGTGTACCTCCACCTTCTTCCAGCCCACCTGAGGTTTCCTCCTAGGTATGTGTGAAGCCAGCTGTATGCCCTGACCAGCAGGTGGCCCTGCAGAAGGCCACATTATGATTAAGCCCTCCACAGGACACATCTGGTGCAGGGAAAGAGTAGCCACTGACCCCACCCCTCCAGACCACCACACATTCACCACATGGGCAGCTAAGTTGCACTTTTCCACTGCTTCTACTGTCCACTGACTGCCTACCTGTGTCTAGTCACAGTGCCCCTGACATCTGTGAAGGTGGGTTTGTGCCTCTGGAGACTATCCTGACCAGAAAATCAGACCTATACTTATTCCAAGGCTGCAGAGGCGTCAGCCCTTCCAGCCTTAGGTGGCTCCTTCACTATGGCTGGAGGGGCACAGAGACCTCCAGCTGTACTCTGCTGGGGTCAGCAAGTAAACACTCCCCTCAGGCAGTGGCTTGGGTAGCTCCTCAGGAGCTCAGGCCCCAAATGACCCACAGCTACCCCTGTGATTGCTACAAAACAGTGTGGCAGCTCTGGTATCTCCCTGACAAGCTGTTGTTCCACAGGTCTCAGAATGTACACAAGTTTTGGGAGACTGTGGCATGACCTAATGAGGGCCATATTGAATCGTGGCCTGGTAAGGCCCATGTATCATGTAGTGACCTACTTCAGATCATTTCCTGGGACCATGGGTGGGCACTGGGTGTGGTGGCTGTCTCAGGAGCAAGGATGCAATAGTCTCAGGACCCTCCAGGCATCCTAGTACTTTATTCCTTGTTATGTTCTGGTAGAGGGCAAGGCTGTGGACAATGGGGCCTGAGTCTGAGAATTTCCTCTTGGCCTGTGCCCCTCCCTCCTTGACCACTGGTGGGAAACACACATAGGGACCTCATACTAGACAGACACTGGGAGAGCAGGCCCACCGTGGGAGCTGGAAGGCCCCTACTGGCTGCCTCAGCCTGACCCACAAATGCCCCTAGCACCTGCCTTGCCTGTCACAGTAGTTTCCACAGTGGACCTGCAGTGGGGGTTCACAGAGGAGGAGCTGGGGTCCTACCCCCTCAGCCTTGTAGTCCTCTGCCTTTCCTAATGCAGGGTACAGACCCTAGAGAGGCCTGTAGAACCATGGTCTCTCTGGGCATCTGGATGACCCTACCAGACCTTCTTGGTGCCAGGTCCTCCTGTGACTTGTCTGTGGCTAAGGATCCTCTGAGTTGATTTGGCAGTCCTGCCCCTGGGCTGAGAAGACAGTGTGGGCCATCAAGCCTTCCAGCAGGAAGTCTGTCACCAGTATACCAAAGCTGGCTCTGCCCCCATCTTATCCACCTCTGCCTTTTCTCTGCCCTTGGGAACAGAGGTGCCAGAGCCTGCTGGTGCCACTAATGCCATCTTTCATCTGCCAGCCAAGTCATACCAACAGTCTGCTGGACAGATGGATGGGGAGAGAGCAAGAGGAAAGATAAACAGACCAAACAGTAGGCTGGGCCCAGGGCCTTGTCCCCATGCAGCCACTGGGCCCAGTGTGATCATGGCTGACTTAGCACACACTCACATCCTATCCCAGCCACTTCTGCTTATTTTATTTTCCTGAACATGACTTCCAGGTAGGCAGGCAGGCAGGCAGGCAGGAAGGGGTCTGAGGAAGTTAGAAATAGCTGAGGTCTGTTTCCAGCCGAGCAGGTTCTGCAGATGTGCACTGGGATAATTGAGGGTTTGCATGCAGCACTAACACCACGCTTTCCATCCCTGTGCCGACCCAGCCACTGCTGCCGAGTGGGTGGAGGAGCTGCTGCCCGGGCTACCATGTGTGCAGGAAAGCAAGAGAGCTTGGCTTCAGAGCAGCCAGTCCTCCCTCCCAAATGGACTTGTGTCTGAGTCTCAGCATTTCCTTGCAAAGGCTTGTTTCACCCTGCCCTGCGCTGTAGGCCAGGACTGACGAGGTACCATACTATCACACGGGACAGTGCACTCCTTACATCAGGAGTACCTGGACTCCCAGTCTGTCCTTGCTGATCTAGCTTCCTTCCTGTGGCTCACAAGGACCCACCCTGCCTCCCCACCCTCCTCTAATCTAGCAAGAAAGCTTCCTGTCATGCAAGGGAATAAAACATAACCGAGGGATTGAACAACTAGGCCAACACCACACAACAAACATGATTTGTAACAAAACCTGTGAGGAGCAGGTGACCTTGTGGGCCTTAACTCCATGCCTGGGAATGCGCCATGGCTTGGCAAGACCCAGAGCCTGCAGGTTCTAGCCAGGGCTAGAGGCAGATGAAGATTCTGGAAGCACAAAGGCACCAGTGCAGGATGGTGCTGTGTGGTTTAGTCCATTAACTGGAGACTCTAGGCCTGGGGAACGAGAGTGTAAGGGGCTAGCTAGCCCATAAGGGGAACGATCTGTGTGCATAAATGCCAAGTCGTAAGTATGACTGGTGTGGCTTATAGTTCCTGCTTGGTAGGCAGCCTATGGCACATCTTCCCACCTTCCCCATCACCATGGCTGAGCTGGGTATTTTTGCCTTAGTACAGACTCTGGGGGCAGTAGGATTGCCTGGGTTTGTTGCTGAAGATCTCACTCCATGCCAGTGTAGGAACGTTCAACAAGCTGCTGGACCATAGCAACCTTGAGACTTCCCTGCCCGCATGGGTCAGTGGCACTGTCCCATGTGTGATGTAGATTCAGTGTTCTTTGCAAGAGATCTAGCTTGACTCGCAGGTGGTACTGTGTCCCCTTCTTCTAGAGGCTTTGTGCCTGGACGCATGAGTAGCACTTAATTAAATAGGAGTTGATCCACCTGCCTGATAGGACAGGCCCAGCCTCGGTACAGATGTGGTTCTACCCATATTCATTGTGATTCTGACTACCTAGCTCTCCAGAAGCTGATAGGGCTCACGCAAAAAGCAGAAAGGGCAGGTGAGGAGGTGGCCAGCTTCTGCACACCTGCATCCTCAGTGCTAGGACTGCTAGAGAGCATCAGGTTTGTGTGTGGGAAGAAGAGCCAGGTGATGTGCAGTTCCCCTGTGCCCGGGGCATGTGTGGGCACTGCTGGGCGATATGCCCCACCATCCAGAGAGCCTGGGTTGGATATCTGTATCCACAGAATGAATACAGAAAGGTGATTTCAAATGTTCACATGGTTTGGTGGTCTATTCACTTCCTTCCCCTAAGCACACCTGCTGAAGTGCAGTTTGTAGGATGCTGGGCCTTGCTTGGCCTGTCTGCCATGTGCTTGAAGTCCACAGCTTCCACAGTGACCTCCCCAAGCTGTTGTGCACACCAGGGCCTGCAGGCATCTTCCCTCAGACCTCAGA